AGATGAACACAGGTTTTATTAGTCCAATATATTAGACGTTACAGGCTTGTTGCTTTGCCCAGAAGCAAAAATATCTCAAAGCGACGTCAGGGTGCATAGAAAAACCGGAAAGCACCGGATAGCACCGAAAAACCGGAAAGCACTCAAATTTCTCATAAAAACATATGAAAACGTTAATTAATCGGTTTGAAAGTGTTACCAATCGATTTATTAGATTAAAATCTTTCAGACAAGTCATTTTTATATTTATATATTGATAATTATTACGAGTATTTAGGAAAATAGATATATCGAGTGCTTTCCGGTCCTGTTAAGATACATGTACATTACCGGATAGCAAAGTATTGTTTATCAAAGTAATACATGAAAACTTTATTTTATTGGTTTGAAAGTGTTACCAATCGATTTATTAGATCAAAATCTTACAGACAAGTCATTTTTATGAAAATATATTGATAATTATTACGAGTTTTTAGGAAAATGAATATATCGAGTGCTTTCCGGTCCTGCATGCTAAGGTACATGTACTTCACCGAATAGCAATATAGTTTATCAAAGTAATACATGAAAACGTTATTTTATTGGTTTGAAAGTGTTACCAATCGATTTATTTGATCAAAATCTTTCAGACAACATGTTTTTATAATAATAATATGATTATTATAACGATTATTTAGGAAAATAGATATATCGAGTGCTTTCCGGTCCTGTGAAGTTACATATACATTACCGAATAGCAATATATTTTCTCAAACAATCACATAAGATCTTTGTTTTATTGTATTGTTAATGTTACCCAATCGATTTATTAGGTATCATACAGTATTATTTCATGTTTTATTCTAAATTCTATGATTATTTAAAAGATTTATGAATGTTAAAGAAATTGAGAATGCTTTCCGGTTTTGTTAAGTATATGTACATCACCGAATAGCACTCGAATTTTCCATAAAAAAACGTATAACCTTCATTTTATTGAATTGAAAACGTTACCAATCGATTTATTAGGAAAAAATCTCCCTGACATTATTTTTTTATAATTATTATTACGAATAAAAAAAAATATATATTAAAATAGATATATCGAGTGCTTTCCGGTCCTGCACATTCTATCATTGCTTTCCGGTCCTGTGAAGAAAATAATAGTAATACATCACCGAAAAACACTGGTCCTCTTACCTCAGACATACAGATGGTATATAAATATTTAAAATGTATGTACCTTGTCTAATATATTAATATATTTATTTGTTGTAGGCTATATGGAAGACAAGAGGATTCAAAATAGCAGGAAGAGAAGAACAATAATTGTTTCAGTGATGTTTTTTTTATTTTTGACAATAAACAGTGCAATAAATAAAAATAAACGAAACTAATTACTAAGAACAAAATAAACAGATATAAAACAGAACTTAGCAAACATATATACATACATAATTGAAAAATAAGTATGATATTGAAATCAATCAAGGCACACTTCACGCCTCGTTTATTACACGTGCACACGCTGATTGAACGGACACACGCTGATTTAATTATCACATTTAAAGAGGTGTTAAAAATTCACAATAACTTGATGTATTTAACTGATTAACTCCGTCATGATTTTTGATATTTTATTTAAGAGATATTCCAATTTAGATTTAATAGCACTACTAGCATTTAAATAAAAATTATGGTAATGGATTAATTTTGTTGAGGTTTATATACAATTTTATTCAAATAAGAGTACATTTTAATAGCACCTTGATATAAAGTTCTAAGAGATTCCGTATATATCCGTTACAAACATTTCTTTTCATGAGTGCCGTAATAATCTTCATTAAACAAAATTAATTTTATATCAAAAGAGTGTGTAGTTAATTGCAATTTCTAATTATCTAATTTAATGTGCATGTAAAGGACAGTGTCTAATTAATGCAACTTTGATGTGCAGGTCGGTACTCTCAATTATCATAATTGTATACAATTTGATTAAATCATCACCTTTATGTGCTTCAATATACAAGGTCTTTAATCAGCATGGATTAGCACGTGTGATAAACAATACAACAACTACTGTCTTCCACTGATGACCACATTGCTTTTCGGTACACATAGTATGGTCAAAATAAAGACATAACTGAACGAAAATTTATAAGTTTTTCTTTATTTTACATGAAATATAAAAATATAATAATAAAATATGGTTCAATGCTTTGAATAACTTCTTGGTACTTTTTACACATCATCTTTCTGTCCTTCACACAACCTATAAAATATTAGAGATATATGGTATGAGTAAGATTGAAAAATTGTGTAACTAATCATAATATTTTTAAATAAAATAAGTTCAACTTAATAAATCAATTTATAACACTTTCACATAATTAATGTGAAGGATTAGTGTGATTTATATAAATATTCGAGTGCTATTCGGTAAAGTAGATGTACTTTAGCATTACCGGAAAGCAATCAATATACAACTTTGTAGCAGTTTTGAAAATCGCGTAATGAAACATAAAATATTTATAAAAACGTCATGATATACAGATCTTCAACTACTAAATAGATTGAAACCACTTTCAAACCAATAAAATAAAGTTTTCATGTATTACTTGGATAAACAATATTGCTATTCGGTAATGAACATGTATCTTAGCAGGACCGGAAAGCACTCGATATATCAGTTTTCCTAAATACTCGTAATAATTATCAATATATATTTATAAAAACATGTTGTCTGAAAGATTTTGATCTAATAAATCGATTGGTAACACTTTCACACCAATAAAATAAAGTTTTCATGTATAACTTTGATAAAACAAAATTGCTATCCGGTAATGAAGATGTACCTTAGCAGGACCGGAAAGCACTCGATATATCTTATTTTCCTAAATAATCGTAATAATAATCATAATATAATTATAAAAACGGTTTGTCTGAAAGATTTTGATATAATAAATCGATTGGTAACACTTTCACACCAATAAAATAAAGTTTTCATGTATAACTTTGATAAACAAAATTGCTATCCGGTAATGTACATGTATCTTAACAGGACCGGAAAGCACTCGATATATCTTATTTTCCTAAATACTCGTAATAATTATCAATATATTTTTATAAAAATGACTTGTCCGTAAGATTTTGATCTAATAAATCGATTGGTAACACTTTCAAACCGATAAATTAAAGTTTTCATATGTTTTTATGAGAAAATTGAGTGCTTTCCGGTTTTTCCGTGCTATCCGGTGCTTTCCGGTTTTTCTATGCACCGTCATAAGACTGACATATACTTACATATTGACATAATATGAAAAAGGCAAAGCCTCAAAGCGAGCTCGATGTACTTTTTACGTGAAATAATCGCTCATTTTAATTTAATGTAAAACTTAAAACGTTTGCGACATTAAAATAGCGTACTTGATTTGTTTGTTTTGCACGCGTTGTTTGGCGCTACATTGTGACGTCACGTAAACAATACTTTAAACGTCTGTACAGCGTTAACAACTGAATAAAAGATATTGGTGTTCGAATTCATTTTCTTAGTTAGACCATTTTCTTTCATTCTAGATAGTTTTCACAACAAAATTCGACAAAAAAATTGTTTTTATTTATCAGATTTCAAACAAAATGGCGCCTTCGATTTTCATTTTTTATTCACAGCTTCCGTTATTCTGGTTCCCTGTCCAATTATGGTTCCCATAGACGTGCGCGGGTGACCAGTCTACATGCACATCCGTTTTCAGCCAGAATTCTTCAGTTTTTATCGTTATCTTTAAATTCGAAAGGTTGCGATGTGTCCAATTCGGTACTTTGGACGAAAGTTTTCAAAACCATCACTTAGCAGGTACTCGCGTTACCGTTAAGCTCGCTTTGCGAGCAGGCCCTTCGGGCCAGCTCGTCGAGCTCGCTAATATGAAAAAGGCAAAGCCTCAAAGCGAGCTCGATGTACTTTTTACGTGAAATAGTATGAAATAATCGCTCATTTCAAATGCAGTATATAGTGCGTGTGACGTCACACGTACTGTGTTAATTATGGCCCCGCCCCTGTCGTGAAATGAATAACGAGTTTTGAAAACGTTGATAAAAATTTGTTTATTTTATTTCACTCTATAATTTTTCAAGCGAAATAAAGATTATTCAAAGTGAAATAAATGTAAAACTTAAAACGTTTGCGACATTAAAATAGCGTACTTGATTTGTTTGTTTTGCACGTGCTGTTTGGCGCTACATTGTGACGTCACGTAAACAATAGTTTAAACGTCTGTACAGCGTTAACGACTGAATAAAAGATATTGGTGTTCGGATTCATTTTCTTAGTTAGACCATTTTCTTTCATTCTAGATAGTTTTCACAACAAAATTCGACAAAAAATTGTTTTTATTTATCAGATTTCAAACAAAATGGCGCCTTCGATTTTCATTTTTTATACACAGCTTCCGTTATTCTGGTTCCCTGTCCAATTATGGTTCCCATAGACGTGCGCGGTTGACCAGTCTACACATCCGTTTTCAGTCAGAATTCCTCAGTTTTTATCGTTATCTTTAAATTCGAAAGGTTGCGATGTGTCCAATTCGGTACTTTGGACGAAAGTTTTCAAAACCATCACTTAGCAGGTACTCGCGTTACCGTAAAGCTCGCTTTGCGAGCAGGCCCTTCGGGCCAGCTCGTCGAGCTCGCTATTAATGACAAAATATTCAAGAGACATATAAAACAGTTCATTCTCTCAAGAAAACAATGTTGTATTAGTTTCCTAAATAACTTGCATGAATTAATGTGTTAATGTTCATCACATTGTCATCCAATCGCCTGTTGTCCCATTGAATCTTTCCAAGACAATCGCTGATCGCATAACAATGTAGTAATCTGATCCATGGGTAATTAAAACTGTGATAGAACCGCTGAATGACAAATGCCAATTGCTTAATTTAATTAGTTATAAGTACTAAACATGTATTTAAATTCTAAATTTGATTATTTCTAAAATCAATCATATTGCAAAAAAATTAGCCTACCAAAGTTAATTCCTTCTAAGGCAACGGTATATTGATAAATATGTAAATAACAAACGGGAGTCCGAGTAGACTATGTGCCGGGAGCATCTTTTAAAAAGTATAGATCTATATGAGGTCTAGAAATGAAACAAAATTGAAATCAGATCGAAACATAAGCTATTAAAGAAAATATAGAATATTTATTTTTTTGCGATTTTGCGAGACAGCTGTGCCGTGAAGGAGGTAGTCATGTAACCAAGGAGATAGCTCTATAATGTGAAAGAAGACCACCAATGATACTAGTATTGGATAAGAATGTAAAAAGCTTCCCGTGATAAAATATCTTTAGGATGTTGGTATGATGGGTATTTTATGGAGAAAGAATCCAATTATTTGACTGTTAGGATTTTGGAAATATTTGTTTCATACTAGCAGTTGTTCGTGCTACATTATTCACAAAATGATCTTATTTTTATTGTTACAGGTCCCAACTTCAGGATAATAAGTAAGCTATAATAATGCGAACACTGTGTACAAACACATTTTATATGTACATATAAAATTACCTAACAGCAACATAGTAGGAGCACATTGCTCTAAACAATTTAGCATGCCTGAGAATTTGAAACATCACATAGTAACCGTTCACATGGGGAAAAGAAATATGATTGCGACAGTTGTGACAAGAAATATTTGTGTTCCCTATTATAAATGCCCAGGGAGTTTTCATTTTAGCTAACTTAGCTACAGTGTTTCCAGCTATTCAGAAAGCTATGCATTTTTTCCTTTCAAACACATTTCATATCCAGTAATGCTGAATAATGAAAATAACGTAAGCATTGTGCAAAAGTGACGCAGACTTGAGATGCAATTCTGTGGCCGAAACGAGTACCAAGGAAAGATGATGAACCAATATTTTGTATTTTATTTTTATTGTACATCAAATCGAGAGAAGTGAATAAGCACATAGGGTTCCTTCAGTGTGACGATAACAAATAACACAAATTTATCAACTTTACGTTTGTTGGAAATCTACATGGTTTAGCATTCTTCGAATTTCGATATTTGGTGTAAAATACATTTCATATCCAGTAATGCTGAATAATGAAAATAACGTAATTGTGTTCCCTATTATAAATGCCCAGGGAGTACAACAAATATTTCTGCCTCAGCTGACGTTTGAACTCAGATCTCATTCCAATACAGGAAATTGTTTTCTATCAATTGAATCGTTCCACTAAAGAGACATACATCACTTAGTCTACAATAACAAGCTTATTATATTTTATTATCTTGTAAATAAAAACATGAACATGTAGCGAATACAATTCTTTAAAAGAAATAAAGAGTAAGTTAAATAATGAGCTCTAGACAAATAATATAATAGAGAACTGTAAGATGATGCTAAATCTAATTATTAAAGTCAAAAGGTAATTATGCATAATTTGAAGACATGAATTTCAAATTTCAAAGCAGTACTGAACCAATCTTAATAAATCTATAGTTTTTATTGTTGTATCATGTAAGGAATAAAGGACAATTACAGGATGTTTGTTATGTGAAATTCTAAGTACTTCACATTAACAAGGATTAAATTACATGTCAATGTCTTTCTCCCATGCTTATGACATGGAAATTCGTTCACCGTGAGTAAAGAAGTAAGAGCTGTCCGAAAGCAGTCCTCTCGACTTTATCAATACGTTATAGTAAACAAGAGCTTGGGTAATGTAAGTATTAACAAAGAGGAAACTTTCATTCACAAAAATAAAATAATGTACATGATATATTGTCATCAGTCTTGTATATTAACCAAAGTATTTGATTCACAAAGTACTTTATTTCAGTCAAAATCCATGCCAGAATGATTGCTCTTGGAATTTGACATTAAATCAAGCTTCATGTTAATACAAACATTATTTGTTTTTGAAAGATTAATGCCGAATAATTTTCTAAATTCATAAAGAGCCATAATTCAGTCTAAATCCATATCAGGTATGCTCTTTGGATAGTCACGCTCAATTATGATAATGAAGAAATGTTTCAAGTGACTCCCAATTATGATCCCAAAATGTTCATTATGTTTCAAGTTATTTTGTATCTCTACGGACATTGGACAGTGACTTTCTATTATGCTCTCAAATAAGTGTGAAGTTACAAGCAAATATCGCTAGTGGTTGATGAGATATTATTTTGCATGTTAAACTTTGTCCAAAGCGTATTTAAATTTAATAGACTAAAGCCGTTGACGACGCCAACGATGACGCCGACGCCCGGGTGAGTAGGATTGCCCCACTATTCGTTGGTAAAACAAACTAAACATATGACCTTAGAAGTCGGTTAGTGGTTTCTGAGTTAATACCATAAAAGGCATTAAATAATAATAATAATAAAAATAATAATAAAAATAATAATAATAATAATAATAATAATAATAATAATAACAACAACAACAACAACAACAACAACAACAACAACAACAACAACAACAACAACAACAACAACAACAATAATAATAATAATAACAATAATAATAATGACTTGGTGTATCTCACATATTCTTTTTGACTTAAATCCATGTTATTGGAAGCTGTGTATGTTATATACATCAAACTATAATTTATCACACTCATCACTGTGACTGAGAAATACGATTGTTTTAGAACTATTTGAAAAGTGGAGATTCATGTAAAAAGGTCTTGTTTAAATTATGAT